ACTGGAAATGGCCCTCAAAGAATGAGAGACCTGTTTGAACCAAGAGCTCAACTACCTTCAGGACCAGAGGACAGCCATTTTATTTATGAATAGAGATGGAGTCATCATTTCTAAGGGCTCAGAGTCGCACACGCCGTTTCTGGATTCTGTCAAGTCATGCAGTGGGAGACAAGCTCAACCTGGCAATAACAGTCTCATTTTTTAAAAGTGCAATCAAATACGACACCGGCCTGTTGACAACATGGTCATTCTTCATCATTTAGAAAAATCTTGGTTCAGATTCTGAAAGATAACCTCATACATTCATGGCCAGCTGCAGAAAGTCACTGGGTGAAACCTAGAGCCACTATTACACAGAAGGCCAAACCAAATACTTGTAGTCACCCTTTGTGGTGTCAAAACCTAATATACTCATGGCTCTTCAGAAATTTATCTATTACTTTCCCTATTCTCTACAGACAGAGAAAGCAAGAATTCTCACAAAGGGCTACAGACATCTGCAATGAATGCAACGACACCGTCAATCTGCTGTATCAGCTCCAACACTCCTGACAGTTCTCAGCTCTGCTTTTGTCTCAAGTCACTGGAGACCAAGTAATTAGAAGCAAGCCTTGGTAGAGATCTTTGGTGAACAGAGGCAGAGTCAACAAGCAAACCATACTAAAACCCTCTGCCTATTTAAGACAGTTTAAGAAAAATGTACAACTGCTCCTCATAAAATCCTCTTCACCTGTTTCTAATACCTTGTAGAGGACACTCAGAGACAGCTGTTCAAAAAGAGTTTGCACATGACTTCCTATTGTGTGCCTCACCTCAGAAAGTCCTGTTCATAATGTGGTAGGATCACCACCTGCTTATTCCTGTGCTTCTTTCATTTAGCATATAAGTCAGGACAAAGGTGGTTGACTAACAATAACAGCAGTTTCCAACCTGACAAGAGATGTTCATTATTCCTTTTTCAACAGTCCATTTCAGAACCAGCATAATTTTTGGGTAAGTCTAAAAACTTTCACGTTCAGAACAATATTCACTTTGAGGGTTTCTACATACAAATGCTCTTGGAGAAGAGTCACAAAACTCCCTTGCATGGGCTAATGGCCAAATCAGAAAAATGACCAATCGAGAAAAGAAGCAAGTACTCTTTCATGAAGAAATACTGTTAAGCTTTCTATGTTATACTGAGTACTATTTAGCACCTGGAGATCGAAGAACTGTCTTAACAACCAGACTCTTTTTGAGGAAAATTAAGATCCCTCATGAACTCTTGTCAAAATGATGAGCATACTGCCTTCTCCTTGATACAATTGCCTTTAAAAGCGGTAGTCCTGCCCTGAGAATTTCTGAGCCATTTCTGCTCTTTTACATGTAATTTATACAGACATGTTACTTCATATTAATGCAGTTTAGTAGACAAAGCTCCTCAAAAGCTTCTTTCCCCTGAAGATTGTGAGATTCGCTCTTGCAATCTTGGAATTCTTCTTTCTTGGACCAGTATACACCAAGTGATGGATGAAAATGGACTTCTTTTAGTTTTTTTCAGAGACAAAGCATAGAAAAACTTAAGCTAAAAGTCTGTAGCGAGAAACTTTAACAAGAGAAGGCAGAAATGGTAAATTAGCCTCCAAGCTTCTAAGAATCTCTTGATTTCATAACTTTAGTACTTTCAAGATACAACAGATTAGTTTCTAGAAGTTTCTTGGAACATGCAGCATTACCGAAAATGAGCTCATTCTGTAGCTGTATTTCACACCAAAAAAAAAAAAGCCATTTTGCACTTGGACTAGATCACACTGACTTGCAAAAACTGGGTGATGTTCACCACAGTTCTCAGCAATATCTTCCCATTACCAATCCAGCTACAGTCAGTGCCTGTAAACACTGACTGCCTTTCCCAGCACGATGCACGTCAGAAATCCCAGCTGATGGTGTCACAGGGCTTCCTAACGCACAGAGGAAAACTCCTGCCCATCTGTTTCAACACAGGCACATCTCTACACTTTCTCAGACACCCTAACTACTCTTTTTTCCCATGCACATCCCAGCTCTGATAGTCTTCATCTCACACCAGCACGTGACTGAGCTCCACGCTGCCTGCCTGGGTCAGTTGTTTGGATATCATTAGATTGCCCTGAGTGAAAGCCCTAATGAGGTGCTGATCCCATCATCCAATCACTCAGCTGAGCTAGAATGCATCTCATGGGACAGCAGAAAAGACTGATGCAAGAATTCCAAGTGATGTGTAACATGAAAGGGCGCCATTCGCATCGCTAGGACTCACAGCCTGTCAGCACAGCCATTAGAAATCCTGGGCTACAGAGATTTATAATTCAACCCTCCCACACACAGAACTTGCTCCAGACTAAAACTTGGCACAAAATTCAGTCCCAGGAGGGCATTAAAAAAATAACCCATTCAACGGTTTCCGTCCCATGGCTTCAGCTCAGTCATTTAAATAATGGCAATTTCTCATTTCTCTTTTTAACTGAGGAAATCCAATATAAAACACCAGATTTACATAACATTGCAGTGGTGATACAAGCTGGCAACAAACCCAGGGAGAAGGCTGCCAGAGCCATTCCGTCATCCCCTCTTGGTGAATTTCTCCATTTGGATTCAGTTTAATGGAATGATTTTTATTAGGTCTAGCTGACATCATGTGTAATCTGCAAATCCCACCTCCATGTTGGTCAGGCAGCTTGCCCTAGTTTTGTACACCTTGTGTGCCTGTTAGAAGGGGACAAGCCCTTCTGTGGTCAGCGCAGCCTCCACTTGTACTGCCACTGTTATTTCTTTGCAGCAAACTCTGCTGGCTGATTTAGAGGACAGTAATTAGTTGCCTATTGAGTTGCAAAAGACTGACTGGACAAGGAATGGACATATACAAAACAAAGAAGGGAACTGATGCAAATGCAAAGAAATTTGTCACTAGAGCCTTTGATTTAATCAGGGATTGTTCTGACAACTACCACCTGCTTCCAGGGAGAGAGACAGACCCAAGCATATTGTGGCTGCAGTCCTTTCTCCACCAGGTATTTCAATTACTGTGGGGGCCATCTGCAATCTTGAGTTTGTCAATGGAAAAAAAAAATAATCTTGGTAGTTGATGCAATGCCACAAACACTTCTTAATAAACACATCAGACTTCAGGAAGTCTGCAAGTAAATCACTGCGGTGAGCATGAGCCTTCTGCTTCACCACCACTCACCCAGAGATGCCTTTGATAGCACATGTCGGAGAGCTACAAGTTGTGTCACCCACAAAATATATTATCTGCTGGGTGGGCTACTGGGGTCCCATCTCATCACCACCAGCACCATTCCTGCTCTCTCCCACAGCGTACCTGAGACACAGTCCCTGCTGCCATGCTCCAGCTAGAGGACAGGGCATATTACAAACCAGGACCAAAGCATCTGAATAGGTTTTTCCTATTTGTTTTACAAGTTGACATGTAGAATAACTATAAAATAATTATATGACCAAATGTTATGAGAAGAAAATCAAGATTTGTATCACTGGTCAACTGCAAGGCTCCAAACCTCAGAAAGAGGAATCTTTCCTGTTCGCTAGAGAATTACTGACTTAATGGTACTTTAAATCAGTTTGGACTCTCTGCAGCTATCAGCGAGGATGCAACAAGATGCCATAGCAGTCAGTGTTAAAATGCTTCTTCCAGAATGTGGTGGTAGGTCTAAACTGCCATTGTTGCACTAACTTTCCCCATGTACTAAACCATCCTCCCTAAGACCAGCCTCTGAGGTCCATGGTCCAGCTGTGAAAACCCTTCTGGCTTTCTGAGAGCTACATGTACAATATTTCCCTTGAACAGAGGAAAAAAGCTAAGCCCAAAGAGCCATCTGAGCTTGCAAAATGGAAAAACAATATGGGGCAAGCATCTGCAGAACCATGTTCTTTTGCAACAGTTGCACAGTTTTCTCATACCTTGTCCTTTAATTCCAAAGGGGGGTACAAAGTCCCTGATACGTGCCCATTTCCTGAAGGAATTATCCAAGAACATTGGTGCCGGCTTCGAGAACCTGAGAAAAACAAAATGAGAGAGAAATTAACTCCTGAACAAGGAAGAATAAATTTTTGTAGGGGGGTTGAGAGAATCCATCTGTAAGTGCTGATTCTACATTCTCACAGGCAATACAGTAACATAGAAGATTTTATTTTTACCTAAAGGCACCTGCAATGGAGCAATTCCGTCAGAATTTGTGCCATGAGGATACCCAAATGAATCAAGTCATGAGCCTGGCAATCACTTCCTCTCAAAAATTGAGAATTTCCCCACTATTGTTTTAGTACAGATTTAGCTAGAGTAAGTTGTAAATTGCAACCAGAGTTTAGGCAGTTTTACTTCCAGCTTTGTAAAGAGCAGCCAATTTATGTGCTGTCTACGTGAGTGTGTGAGGAAGGGGTGCAGAGTTGCCTTTATATTGTTCATTACATATATTGTGCTGCTCTGTGCAGGTGTGAATGCACTGGGCAAATGTGTGTGCAGAGCAAGGCTGGGGTTATCTGCTCTCATGGCTGCTTCTGTCTCACTTCTGTGCCCATAAACAGCAGCTATCGTGACACAGGCAAGAAAGAAAACAGTTCGGAAGATCATGAAGTAGAACTTAGTTTACAAAGAATGGAAATTCAGTACAGATGTAGGTGTTTTCTTCTGCATTCATTAACATATAAATGATTCAAGAGAGGTCCTTGCCAAACCAAACAGTTGTGATCTATCCAAAATCACTTATAAAAGAAAGAACTAGTCCTTCTTAACTGTGTCATTATGGGAACACATTATCCTAATTACACCCTCAACAGACAAACACAGCAGCTACTAAAAAAATTGTCTCTTCTAGAAACAATTACTACAGTGGCCAGATAGAAGGAAACAATTAGCAAAAGAAACTACAGAAATATTAACTTTCATATGTGACCATTTCTGAGTATATCAAGATCACTGCTAGAAAATATGCTAACACTATTAGAAATCTGTTCATTCAATCATATCAAAACAGTAGCAGAGATATTCTGGATCAAAATCTATCACACCATGCTACAGAAATGAAGAAAGGGACATACTGCACATTCAGAATCAGAGAGTACATCTCCGTGACAGGCATATTGCAAGTGCAACATACACGTCTCTGAAACAGATACAGCCTGGCTAACCTAGGTACTGGTAGCGGGGATAGATGTAACACATCAGCTTAACCCTCCCTTCAAGCTGTTTTGGTGTTCAGCATGCAACTCCATGCTACTGCAATCAGATAACTTTTGGACTGGAACTACCTGATTTAAGATAAACTCATCTACAGGGCACCACAGCCAGGTACTGGGCAAAAATTATAGCATCAGAGTGAGGAAAGGATGGAATGAATTCTGAATTATAAACTGCTCAAAGTACAGTCCTGTCACAGATGTCTAGTAAATTGGAGGTTGCAGAAATACCTGGGAAGATGGGAGACCAAGAATATTTAAGAAAACAAGAAGATTCAAACTCACCCATGCATACCGCTTCACATCCACCCATGCAATCTTTAATAAGATCATCTATAACCATAAAAGCAGGATGCACAGAATACACATCTGATCTAGAAGGAAAGGAATGTTTTTCCAAAGCTGAGGGTATCAAAGGATCTATATAACTTTTCTGGAAAAAGGTGGGGAAGATGTGTTAGATGTATTAGAGTTTCTGAAGATCTTAAGTAAAAAACAAAAAACCACAGACCTAATAAAAAAAGAGAACAGGATACAATAATACTCTAAAAATATCCTAAAATATGTGGCAAATTAGTTCAATGTTTTTTTCAAGCACCTTGGTGCACTGAAATGTAAGTATTATGTTACTCTGGTGGATCTCCAAGGAGTTATCTCCACCTCCTTCCAACATCAACAGGAGGAATCTCTGCAGGATTCTCATACAATGCAAGAGCTTCTATAACTTGACTGGCTATCGGCACAGACGTTCGCAGCTCCTCTACAGCTATCACTTGAACTAACAGCAGAAGCCAGATCCCACAGAATGGTTCCTATTCTCCCCAAGCAGCAGCCCAAGTGGAGAATTGCACTGACTGCATTGCCTGAGGGTGACCAGCACCTTTGGGCTGGTTTGTTTGGTCACTGAGAAACTCTGGTTGCTGCTGTGATGTGCAATCTTCAGAAAAAAGAACTTGGAAAAGATATATATGAGGAAGTTTTATTCCCCTTTCAAGAATCAATAGGATTCCCTATAACAATGCTACGAAGTAGTGCAGTGTAAATAAAAAACTTAGGCAGTTTAGTTCACTTATTCAAGAGCACTGCATGAGAAAGAAGGTACATTATTATATTGGTATTATTTATAGGATGCAATTAACTGGCCTATTTGCCAGTCATACACCAGGAAAAGGCAGCTTACAGCAGTCTTAACACGAAGTATGGAGCGTCTCTCCCTAATGCAGATTCTCCCTTACAAGGTGCCTGGTAAAACCAAAAGGAAGCTCAGATCCTCCTGGGACTACCAGGGCCCCAAGGGGAGTCCCCAGAATCAGCTGAAGCACTAGCAGGATGATGTGATGCTCCGTGGTGTCCCTTCTGCATGTGACGGACGACCAGGGAACCAAAGTGATGCCCAAAGAGAAGGGTGAAGTGACCACTGGCCTTTTATTTTATTTGCTAGAAATAAACTTAGGGATTTTTCTAGGAAAGAACACAACAGCCTTAGACTACCTACTATTATTTGGTAATATTTAACACTACTGTACACAGAGCTAGGGAAACCAACTTTTAATTCATACTTTTGCTTCATTTAAGAGTTTGGAGGGAAATATTGTATCCATATGGGGGACAAAGGAGCAAATTAACGGATATTTAGCTCCCATAAATCTTGAAGGTAATTCCATTTTGGAAATATTAAGAAATCACGAATGCTGTAAACTCATGATCTATGAAAAGCACTTTGCCACCTCAATAAATCAGAGCAGGCCAGAACTGATGTCCAGCAGTGACAAGGAAATGCTGTCTGCCAGACCTCTCCGGGAGCATGGCTGTTCTGTCTCGGCTCTGAAGCGTGTCTGGCGTATTCTGGGAGCCTTCAGGAAATATCAGGATATGCCTCAAACGGGCCATGGGAATGCTCTCTGCAGAGCACCTAAAATACATTCCAAGGAATGCGTGGGAGTTTGACAAACAGAAGAAGTAAATGTTTCTGAATTATGTTAAATTTTATATCTACTGAGCGGCTTATATATGGGATGCTACATTTTACTCGAGTCATCTGTCACGGCTACCTAAAGGCAGGTTAGCTTCAACAACACAGCTCCAGAACTGAAACAGGCTTGTGCTCTATGGGCAAACAGTACATAAAGGGAGTGTTTTGACTTTTCAGATTTAAATTTTAAGCAGTTCCTCTCTACTCCACCTCAAATTCCAGAACAGACATAATGCAACCTCATAGTACATGACAGCCATGAAGAGATGAGAAATTTGGGTGTTTGTGGCACACACTCATGATCTTCTTGATTTGGGAGAGAAATGCCAAGCATCTAAAATCTCTAGTTTGAATGGCATACCCTGATAAAACAGCAAATGACATCTAAATAGACTAAATGCTGGATATGGTTACAAGGTACAGTCCAAATCTCTCCCAGCTCTCAAGTTTGCATTCCTCATGCAAAGACATTAGTAAAATCTCTAACACAATTTGTCACCGCACACAGCGAAAGGAAGTGTACTGCCAGAAAACTATTCTTAAACAGGAATATATATATACAAGAAAGTGTGATATATATTTGTGCCTAGGGGATTCTGGCTTACGCAACAAAAAATTACATTTCCAGTTATTTTCTCCCTGACAAGCAAGAAGAGTTGTGATCCCAAAACATTTCTACCTGGAACGCTGAACTAGCCTGCCAGAAGCTTCCCAGCCATGTTTTCCAAGCATTTTCATTCTGTCCTTGATGCACAGATCCATTCACAGCTACTCCTTTTTGATGTGTGCTGAGGTATTCAACATCAGCACTAACTTCCCAAAGTATGTTGCAAATCTTAGACTAGTACCACTGCTATTAAAGGTAGCTATTGAACAATTTCAGACATTTAATTGTGACTAAAATCTGCTCCCTACACCTACCTGCTGTTTTCAAGGCAATTAATATATAAATATGTAGAAGAAAATAAGTTAGACCAGAGAGAAAGTAAAAGAAACAAACCAGTTTATAGTCTTTGGCTTTAACAAGGATGGAGGAAGTGAAATGAAGTGAAATGAAGGCCAAGTCCTTGAAAGAGTAGAGGAGAAGATGGCACCATGTTTCTAGAAAACATGACACTAAGGAAAGGCACACTGGCAGCCCCTAAACTCCACTGTGGGTTTATTTCTCAGATATTTCCTTCCTTTTTTTTTCCCCATCCTCCTTTAAGCCACCCTGCTCTTCTGTTAGCTCTGATGGAAGCATTTAAAAAAGTATGGAGAGAAAAATCTAAACTAACCTTTTCCTTTTTCCCTAGTGAGACCTAGATGTATGTGGTCTCCCTTGCCTCCCTTCTCTGGGAAGCAGCATGGTGTGATAGTTCAGGGAATGAGGAGGTTTGTGACATCCTGATTTCACATTTCTTATTGACATTAATCCTCTGTCAAAAATCCAAGCAGCTCAAGTATTCCTGAAGCAGCTGAAAAATTTAAGAAACCGTACTAATAAGGATTAACCCCATCCTACAACCAACATACTTTTTTTCCTAAATCAGCAAACAAATGAGACAAAAAAATAGACAGCTGCAAGAAGAAAATCTTTAACAGTAGAGATTACGACAGAAAATTAGGTTGGTTTTAGCAAACTGCAGAAATGATCTAAAATAAAATCAGACAATATGGTAAACACATCTTAGCACTGAAGACTGGTTGGTCAGTGCGCCCTACCACTGCCATTTGACACTCCTAGTTCTTCTTTTGGAAGAGACAGTGAGCCACTGATCCCTATCCATCTTCTCCCATTCTATTCCTACCTACAGTTGTCCCTTTCAGGCTGAAAAGTCTTCAACTACTTGGCCATTCTCTATGCAG